CATGATAGATTGCTTACCAAAAGACTGCTTTCACTCAATTGAATTAGTCGCCGGAAATGCATCAATGCAAAACAAATATATTTCGACTGCGCTTGTCAAAATTCAAGACAAGTTCACCACCTCAAACTGCCATATTCAAGTTTACGGTTAATCCATTCACAAATAAATGCTAATATTCCCAGACTTAGACAACCTGCACACAGCTCGAAGATACCTTGTAGTGCAGAGACCGAGACTGTTTTGCCCTCTTCAAATTTTATATCTTTCGTTTCCTTGAAAAATCCCATAGTAACTAACTTTCGATATAGATCCTTCGATGTTTTGCCTTTAGTATACTCGACAAGTTTTTTAACATTCTCAAAATCCTGCCACAATTTATGCAAACCTGACTGAGCCAGCTGTCCAAAGCTTTTGGATATGACTGAAGTCATAAAGTCACGTGTCATAAGCATAGGTCTGTTTAAAAAAAATATTGGTGACTCTGTATGTCTGAAAATGTACGGGTCTCTCTTTGCGCCAACACCCGCCAACATTTCTTCCAACTGAAGGTCCACATTTATAACCGCAAACGTATCCATAACCCGCTTAAGCCCACTAAAGGGTGTCCCGGATATAGATTAAATGATATAAATTAGACGATAACTTTTAGAACCGCGAAACCAAAAATTTTAAATTTATCAAATTCGAAAGACAAATACTGATGGCCAAAGTGACCGAAGTTTGAAAAACGCCTCAATTCTATTAATGAAATGCGGAGCTCTGAAAATGAGAACTCGAAAAGCGTATTTTTCACTACCCTATAAATGGGCCTAGGCCATATAACTAAAAAATACAGGACAATTTAACCGCTGAAATGACATCAGAATTGGCAATCTACCACATTGTTACAAGGTATAGGGAAACTGCTGAAGTAAAATTTAGGTACATTCTGGGCCACACCCTCGTGAAATCCTCCCCCAAAAGGGTACGTTGGGTTTGTACAACTTTTACCCGGCATGCTACCAAATTCGTTAACAATTCTTCTCAATGGTTGGAAATGGATACTTCTACCGTGTTCCAAATTGAAGCCCATAAACTAGGCTTCAAAACTCACACAAACAAGAAATCCCCAAATTATGCCAATGGCCAAGAAAAATAAACAAAAACTGATTTCTGAAAAGTGAACAAAAAATGCTTGGAGAAATTGCTGGTCATTAACGATGGAACTTTGGTCACACTTGACCAATCTAAATCTACGGGAACCAAGTTTTTCCATGCATCAGATCATGATGGAGTGGATCATGAACAGAAATTGAAGAGAATGTTAAAATCTCTCCAAAACGCTTTAATTTTTCTAGCCAAGGATGAGCTTGGGAGTATTTTGGAACCCCATATATAAGGGGGGTTTATGACCACAAAGTGTACATTCAGGAGTTTGTAAAAAACCGATTATTACCCTTTATCAATAAGCATCATAAAACAGCTGATAACTTATTTTAGCCCGACTTATCAACGGGCAAATATGTAAAATTGTGACTAGCTAATTTGGGAGAAAAAACGCTGAAAATTCCCCCAAACAAATCAAGTCCCTAAATGTTTCTCAACCTAGTGGGATTGGAAAGTTTGGGTCTGCCTGCAAACAACAACACTCTCCTCGAGGTCAGGAGGCCAAAAATTTGCAAAGTTTCAGACTAATTTGGTTAAAATTTTGAAAACTGTGGTAGAGAAAGTGGGAAATGAGCATATTTCTCATGCTTCCATAAAAATTAGCTCAATCCGATACAAACAGATTAAGAAAGTCATAGGTGCCGTTTCGACCTGCTAGAAACATTGCGGATTCCGGATAAATTTTGAATTTTAGTTTATACAAAGTATTTTTAATATTACATGCCTTTTAGTAAATTTAATCTATTTCCGGGACACCCTTTATCCTGAAATTCTACATTCCATCCTTCAGAAATATTGAGACCGGTGACAAATTCTGAGCTGGTATGGACAAGTCTTCAAGTGGGTTAAAGTTCTAAATAGTTTTGCCGAATTGACATATGAGTTAATTACTTGGTCAAGCATTTCATAATTTAACATAGACACTGCTTCGCTGCCCCCAATATAAATTCGGCTTGTCGTAATGATTGGAATTTTTGAGTAAACAACCGATTCCATTGTTAACGGCAGCCTGGGTGGGATCAAAGCTACAAGTGAGGAGAACATGGACCCTTGATAAAACACAGTTCCCAGGAGAAAGTAGAAAAGTATGCAAATAATAACAAATACTGGAAAGTTAGATACAAGTCGCAAGATGGCAGGAGTTCCATGGAATTGTCCGGAGAGGGAGGATAAAATCCACTGCCAGGATAGGATAAAGTACTCGATTCCTTTTGTTAATGTTCTATTTCCATTTTTTAAACCATATCCTGTAAGGAGTATGGCTATCAGGGTGAAAGATAATCCGGACCCCGCCCAAGTGTGTCGGTCAAGGGGCATGAACAGAGCTTGTAACCCGTCAGCAGTTGAACTTTTAAAAGACACTGTTGCCATTTTAAACTCATATCTGCGACCACAATGAGGCAGCCAAGAGTATTTGGCGGACGCTGGATACATAATATACGATTTAATAAACCGTTACAACGCATGTAACCAAGGGGTGAAAGGAGTGTCATACGTCAATGTGAATATCAAATTGTTGGAAAATTTGTTAAGATTGACACTTCTGACGTGTTTTCGACTTTTGTGTCTTATTTGTGTCAAATTTAACAGTTGATAACCCTTATGTGACCTTTATATGACCTCTGAGGTCAAAATGGAGATCACCATTGAATTCGGGGTTAAATTTCAGTTGAAATTGAAATAGATATGTCCTATGACGTTTACATGACCTCTGAGGTCAAAATGGAGGTCACCATTGAATTTGACATTGAAAAATAGTTAAAAATGACGTGTCACATGTCAAAACTGACAAGTGACACTTTTTCGTCACTTTTCGTCACCGTGACGATGTCATCGTCACAGGTGACGTCCAAACACAAAATAACATGAATTTTCGAATTCCTCATTGAAAAATAGTTAAAAATGATGTGTCACATGTCAAAACTGACAAGTGACACTTTTTCGTCACTTTTCGTCACTGTGACGACGTCATCGTCACAGGTGACGATGTCACAGTGTCCATCTTCGAACTCGTCCTGTCCATTGACGTTAGGAGTTTACGTTCAAAATTTCAAGTGTCTATGTCTTTTCGTTCAAAAGTTATCGGAGCTACGGACAGACAGACGGACGGACGGACGGACATAACGATCTTATAAAGGGCTTTCACCCCTTAATAAATGACTCACTTGCAACAACGTTGTACTCTATCTTAAAACTATAATCATACGGAGTGCTATGGTGAAAATCTCGACTAGCCACGGATATCCATACGTCGCTAAAGTTTAGTTTGGCTCCTAATGATAGTTGAGCACATGTGTGATAATCCGAAAATGTTTTACCACCTCGCTGAATTGCACTGCATGTTTTCACTCTCGTATCAAACTGGGGGGCCCAACCTGAGCCTATTCGCATTCCTTGCAGGTCGGAGTTAGGTATTTTCCAAGAGGAACCCAGGATTTCAGGGTATTCACCTACTGCTGCGTTTAGCTGGACCAAAGGAAATAGGCTGCATGGGAGGCAGACAACAAAAATTTGGAGCAATTCTGTACCTTAGATAATAAATATCATGGATGTTGATACTTCATCTGGAGACATTTTGAACCTTTCTGGATTGATCACGCTTAAAACGAGAAAAATATAGGTTGGATTTTCCCCATAATAACTTAATCTTTTCCTGGTTTGAATGAATCTTTCCCTTTCAGATTCCGTCTCCAGTTGGTGCAGAAAAATAAATGAAATATGGCTAACCGAGTGACCAAAATAATGGGAAAGGATGCACTCATTTCTTTCACAAGATTTATAGTATGAGTTGGTTTTGCCGCGTTGATGGTGCAAGACTATGGGAAAGTGTTGGTCTTTTAGAAGAAATTGGTTTAGTTCGACTTCCCAAGATTTTTCTTTTTCAACCGTGAAGTCGCTTATTACATGAAAGATCGATCGTGAAGGGACTAAACTGTCGATGTGTTGTAAGGTGAAGGGTGAGGATGCCGAGATGAAGATGATTTTCAAAAGAATAGCGCAAAAAAACAGTTGGTTTGTCATCTTGTGGAAATTGTACATTTATGTGGGTGTTTAGTTGGAAATAAATATGAAACTCCGGTGAATATTTTAACCACGTTAAAGTCGCAGGAAAGTTAAGATGGAATGGAATAGAGTATGTATCTAAGGTTTTACGAAACCTTCACCATCCTAATATGGTCATCGGACTTTGGGTGAAAGTTGACATAAATAATTTATATCGTTTACTTATATTGAAACGAACATGCGATCATGTTTTTTTAATTTAACTTGCCGAAATATAATACCTACGGATTTGGAATAAAAGTTGAAATATCCCAGGGAAATATTTTTCCAAAGGTACAAACGATTGGATTGGAGCATCAACAGACATGTCAGGATCCCATCAACTAATCATCAACATCAACTCCCTAAGTACAGAAGTTGTTTGAAGACCAGCTTGTAGGTTTACATGCTTACAAGTAATAGCAGAAATAGTTGAGTTGTATAACGTCCACATCACAACAGAGTATTCCGACCAGGGTTTAACTGGGTTGGGGTTTTCGGGTTTTAATGGGTTTCAATATATTGTAAATGAATAAAACCCGTAATATTGTATTTTAATTTAATCCTTAATCCTTGAAATTAAATCCTTGGCAATGGAAATTTATTTGCATATATATATATTAATTGCATATATTTATGTATATATTTATATGGCAAATTCCTTAAGGAATAAGGAATTCGGAAAATATTATTATGGAAAATGCAAAATGGAAAACGAATTTCTGCAGAAAAGTATTTTTATTGTATACTACCTAACCAAATTTCTTCAGCTGTGCAAAGTTAAATATGCCGTGATGAAAATAAAGTTAATACTAACCTTGTCGCGTGAATTGAATAAGTCGTCTTACCAAGCACTGCTGCAATTCGTTACCACCTATGTAACCGAAAACTTCACTTTGAATAAGTGGATCATGTGTACCAGTGTGCAAAAGTTTATCCAATTTTCTGATAACCGTGTCCGTTGTTCGCCTTATCGGTTGGATCCAAGAGGCATATCACCTCATTGAACAATTGAAGTTTTAATCAGTCAATTCACACATTCTTGGGTCAAAATCCATTTACGATTGTCTGCTTCGATGGATAAGGCAATGTATAAATCACAAATTTATCACTAACAGCCCAATTCAGTTCATGCAAATTTCGACCACAAGAAGAAAATGCGACAAAACATACATATATCTTCACTACATTATCAAGGCAGTACGTATTTCATAATATTAGATTAAAATTCCAATTGCAAAGTCCATAGTTAATTTAAATACAAGGCGTTTTTTGTAGATGAGTGAATTTTTGATTGCCTACATACATACGAGGTCCAGCAACCCTTAAAACTCAAAGAAAATGCAACCCTGGAATAACCGAACATATAAAAGCGAATTACGCGCTGACGGCAAATTAGGGGAAGGATCATTCGGCATTGTTTACAAGGCCTATAGTCATTCTGAAAAGTGTCACGTTGCGATTAAAGCAATTTCAAGGAAGCTCCGCCAAGGAAATACGTCTTCTTACACAGATGACTCGGTCATGCCGTCCATTTCTGTGGCGAAACTTCGCAAGGAAATTAAAATTCTGTTAGGCCTCACCCACCCCAATGTTATTCGCTACTATCACAGTTGGCTGGAAGAAAAATTCCTATTTATCAAGATGGAATATTGCGAAACGACGTACAAATCTTATTTTTCTCTAGACTTTTGGAATCAGGAAAATCGAATTGAAAATCAAGTTTTTATTCAGCGTCACATTTTAAAACAAATTTTAACTGGGTTGCAATATATTCACGAAAAAAATATCATTCATCGGGACATAAAGCCAGATAATATTTTGTTGCAAGGTTTTCAAGAGAAACAAATTTTGGAAATTGGAAACGTTAAAATTTGTGATTTCGGACTGGCTGAACTTACAGAAAATTCCCTTTCAAGTAATGTCGGAACACGGACATACCGAAGCCCGGAAATGAGCACGGCCGATTACACAGGAAAAACTGATATTTATTCCACTGGCCTTGTTTTCTATAAAACTATATACTTGTTCGCTTCGCGCCCCGCTACGATCCAAGCCTTTCAGGAAATTTTGGGTGGAAGTCATAATTTTCCGAAAATCCTGGAGGAAAAATGTGGATTTAGTCTGCAAATTTTGCAAGAGATGACCTCCTCGTCAGCAGATCAACGACCTTCGGCAGTTGAACTATGTGAATGGATTACGGAAGGTAATGAAAGGTTAATATGTAATCCTAAATGCATAAATATGCACAGGTAAATAACCCCCAATTTATAGTACTGTTATCTGCGTGTTTTTCTTGAAAGTTTATTTTTGTGTTATTTAATTTGTTTAATTTTCACCAGTTTATATTACAAAGTACTAACAAAGTACTAACTTATTGTTAATATTCCAAAAATAATTGTGTTCACTCCAAACAAAAGTTTATTATATGACACCCATGCCAAACGAAGCGAAACGGCACTGCAGAACAACATGAATAGCACTATAAGTTAATAAACAAGGAAACGAAAATGCTGCTATCATTAATTTTCAGCGATACTAAAATGAAAGGAATGAATTATACATTTACGTCATGGTGAAAAATAATGAAATTAAACCGCAATGAAAGTAAAATCACATTAATATACTTTACTCTATATATGGCGGAAGTGATGCTCATTATCATTATTCTATCAAACTCCCTTGTATATAGGTTGTGTCCCGGATCCTTCGTCTTCACCAATCATTCTCCCTGAGAAAAACTTCGTAGGAAGACATGCTCAATTGGAGCAATTACACAATCTCGTGAAAAAAGTGTCAGCAACTAATCACATTTACATTGCTGTCCCCGGGTCTTCTGGAATAGGAAAATCGTCCCTTTGCACACAGTTTTTAGCAGCTCTCACCACCGCTACTACGACATCGACAGCGTATTGCTTCGAAGTGGATGGCAGCAACTGGAACACCCTGAATACGAACTTATTTGCCAAGCATTGCATTACGGTTCCGGTAAAACGTTCCCAAATTTCATCACATTTCCTAGATGCAGAACTTATTGTAATTTATATTGACAATTTGTTTGGAAGTTTTATCCCAACTGCAAAACTTGCGCCCTTAGACGATAACGGGGTTCGCAAAGTTAGAATTGCTTTGTTCAATCACGATTCCATAGAAACCGATTTGGATTCAGATTCCACTGATACCGAGGGCGATACTCATCCACTTATACGCCGCGATACACTAATCGAAATTCCACAATATGATCACGAGGAGGATAAAGCTAAGGTTCGTGTATTTTTAGAAAGCTTGTCTGACGTACTGAGAAAGTTACAAAAAAAATTAGTAGTAGTTGTATCTTGTGAGGAAGAGGATCCCTTCACTGCACGATTTGAACATTTTAACTTGCCCCTTGAGGAGTTCGACGTCCCTGAGGCCGAATTCCTAGTTAAAAAACTGTTTGTGATTAATGATGCCAAGCAAATTTCAAACCTTGTATCGAGGTTAGGACAATTCCCACTATTCATATCACGAGCTGCTGTATTTCACAAAGCAAACTCAGTTTATGGCACGATACCTCAATTTTTAGAAGCTAACATTATCGAAATTACTGAAAAAATTAGCATCGAACAGGTCCAACGTTATAAGAAAGGAGTCGTACCCATGTCAAGAATTTACAAAGAATTGGACAATGTCGCTATCCTTATGCTTGCAATGTTGGCATTTTTTCCTCCCCGTTATATCTCTGCGGAAATATGCACCTTGGTGATGGAAAAGTTATTAAAGCAATCTCCTACCGCTGGTCCAAGTACTAGATCTACCAATCCAGTTGAAAACCTAATTATGAGCTCGAGAGGAATGTTAAAAAAATTCGGGTTTTTGAAACTGTTAGCAGAGGGAAGTCCCCACCTTTTAAGCACTCATCAAATATACCAAAGACGGACTTTCTCAAGTTTAAGGCCATTCCATAAACCATTCTCGTTACGAATGCTAGCAGCGCTTCAAGAGTTAATCAACGAAAATGAAATTAACCCTGAAATAATTACCGAACGCAAGTCAAAAGACGACCTAATTAATGTTGCATCGACAGTTTGGGACAATTGTAAGGATTTATGCAATCCCCACCAATTCCTAACTATACCTAAATTTCTTGACGACAAATCCCCTGAAGTGTATTCCAATAAAAGGTTCAAATTCCTAGAATTCGTCACCCAAGGCGTTATTAACATCGACCTCGACCACAGTAACATTGATCGAGAGGAATTTAACTGTTTGGCGAGTCGTTACCTTTACACGAGCATCTACTCTTACATGAACTATACCTCAGGAATTACAGATATTCTCAAGAAAAGGGAAAAATTTGCAGATTTTAAAGTTGAAACTAAACTTAACAATTTACATTACACTGGGAAAATATATATCATTTTTAACATCTGCATCTTCCTTCTAATGTCTTGCATGATAGCAGGGCCATTTACCTTTTGGTGGTATTCGAATCGATCCTGGTTTGAGCTCTGGTGGTATGACATTTTTGGCGTGGCTATGTTAGTAGTTCTGGCAGTGTTTGTTCCCTTATTAAAAATTCATGCGTTGTTGATTTACTCAAATATTTGGATAAGAAGACTTGTTCAATGGTCCACCATTGCAGCATATCTTGTTACTTTTGGAATTTATAAAGTTGCAGAATATTATAGGTTTCGAATAAAAGGTAATGAGCAACACGTATCCAAAATACTGATTGGTATTATTGAACAAGATATGACGATGTCAACGATTATAATTTTCTGCATTATTGGAGCAGTTACTCTCTGCTACGCTCATTCAGTTAGGATATCGCTTTCCATAATTCGGGCAAATTTTCAGTACCAGAAAAAATTATCTACAGCTTCAACAAGTGGGGTATTAATAAGTATTGCAAAGTTATCTTGCACCGTTGTACTGCAAAGCCTGACAGAGTTATTGCATCTTCTTTTGTCAACTGTGGTGGTAGCATTTATGTCAGTGAGATATATTCGGTGGCTCTGGCATAATAGTTTCTTTGAAGAATATTCTGTATTCATTGTCCTTGTTATTATTTGTGGGGTGTTCTTAATTTACAACTTTTTCTTACTTTGGCTGTATAAATGGATGATATTATTCTCGCTATGGATATCCAATAAAATGAGTAAGTAGCGGATCATTCATGTACAGCCCTGTAAAGTCAGCTGACTAGATACAGGCCCACTTGAACAACTTATTCGTGATTTGTTGTTGAGACACATAGTGGGCAGCTGCTCGGGCCTGTGTCTTGCCAGCTGAGTTTAGAGGGCTTTTCATATATATTTTTATTCAAAGTGCATCAATGTATTAGATAATGTAATTAATGTTATCTTGGATACCATTTTGTGAGGCAGTCTGACAATCCTCGATCTTGATAAGCAGCAATTTTTTAAACTTAGAAAGGCATCATTTTTGTCCAGCTCAGGATGTATACATCAAAATTAATGTTAGTTTGACTTCCAAATGGCGATTTTCGTCGTGATGAAGTACAGGAAAACTAGCATGGTTTAGGACAAACTCGGTGCTTCCGAATTTTTCTGACCTGTTCACAGTGCCCGGCCAATTTTTTCGTCATATACACTGCCATTATGAATTAGTCTTCGAATTTATAATACGTTAGACAACCTTGTCATCAATTCGATTACCTATTTTAGAAATAGGAAAATCTAGTATTTTAATCTGACTAAAATTTAACTGAAAAATTGTGTTCTTCGGTCAGTCATATTAATGTTTAATTTGAATGTATTTTTAATTTGATGAGTGGCATGTAGGTACATATAATAAATAATCATATATAATCAACATATGTTCAAGCTAACAATAAGATTAAGTAAATAAAGTAAGATAAACATCATCTAATTGTCAACATATTTCAGTCCACGTCAACAAGATTTATAGATATTTAATCTGTTGTGCATAAATGGAACGCATAAGAGCTCGTACACATATGTTAACAAATTTTAAGGCTTAATCCAAATGAGTAATAAATAAATAATTGAAGCGAAATGGAAAAGGTGGTTAAGCTCATAGTTCGTGTAACGGACAAACCAACTTATTAGATAAATTGACAATCTCACAAACATACGCAAATTATGTATTTGTCTATTTTTTGTGATTGTTGTTTGCGTCAATGGTTATTTATTTGTGTCACAAATATACATACATATGTATTGTCTGATAAGAAGACCAAATCAATATTGCGCTGCGGAATTGTATGCAAATATAAACTTTATTTGGGTTATTATTATATTTGTTTCTTTCATACAAATATGTAAACCTTATCGAAAACAATGTACACAAAACAAAATCGTGCAAACGCGGAAGCAGTTATATTTCATTGAGTAGCCAGGGTTCGTAAAAAGAGATGGTTTCAAGCAAACATTACTACCCATGGGTTTTATTGGGTTTTATAGGGTTTGATAGGGTTTCATTGGATTTTTAGTGGCAACTTCAACAAATATTCCTAATATCAATCACAATTTTGAAATTCCCCTGGTCCGTATTACAATTGGTTTCAGCTGCATAATTAATTTTTTGTATGAATTGAAACCTCTACATAATAGTAGAGTGTGCAGTTATGATTTGTTCAGGAATTTTCGATTATGTTGGAATATATTCCCAAAATTGCTAATAAAACATCCATGGCGATATGACTCTGTTCACCTAATTTTTATTGTGTCAAGTATATTTGTTCCGCATGCAAATCTATGTACTCCTCTAGTGTAAACAATGCAAACTGGGTTGTCATGTTTGAGAACCAAATATGTAATTATGATATCTGAAGAAATGGAAACATTGTTCAAATATTGTCTCCAAATTTGTAATAAAACCGATTTGGAGTTCCGGCCTGACCTGAGTGACCTGCTTACAGCGAAGTGAAGCAGGGGCAAAGGCCGAGATTTTTTGCATTATTTTTAATAACGAAGGTTTGAAAATAATATTTAAAAATGCAGCAAACGCAGAAAACTTATTCTAAGCTGGGTAAGAAAATATATTTTCTAACGTTTAACACTACTAATTTAAATTTAATGATGTATGTAAATTGAATTTTATCAGAAAGCATTCCTGTCCAGAAACTCAAAATTGGAGGCGAGGACGTCGTGGCACCATTAATATTTGAGAGATATGGTTGGTAAATCACAAAGTTCCATATATTTCAACAAATTCTTAAGTGACTGCATTTACATAAATCAGTTTTTCAGCAATACGATTTCATTTTTGATATTAAAAATCCAAATAATGAAGAGATGCCATAATGCGAATATACGAAACGAAGATGTTCCAGTAAACAATTTTATAGTGTAATGATTACAGAATTATTTGTGCTTAATTATTTTTCTGCATTTTTGTCCATTTTTCTGGACCTATTACATATATGTACTTCAAATATTATTATTAAGAAGTACTTGTGTGCAGATTCTTTAGTAACGCTAATAAATTGTTTGCCGATTCAACTTATCATGAACAATTTATCAATCGAGTGTAATTCTTTGCAGGGTTTCTGTGGCTAATCCTTGCGTTGTGTGTAACCCTCGCCTTTGCATGGGTCATGTGCATGACCCAATTTTCGCTATCGTTAAGGAATCAGAAGGACTGTGGTGTCCGATACCCGAGTCGTGAGGAGTTTGAGAAGTTTTCGGACCATGCAGGTAACCCGGGTCTTTATTTGGACACAAATTGTAAAAATAATTTTTCTGAGCCCCAAGAACGGTTTTATTTTACCCGTTAAATAATTTTAGATTACCATACATATGACTTTGTCTGATGTAACAACATACTCCCAAATTAAGCTGCCACTTATTTATACACAACATATTTATTTTCAAAACACATAAATCAAATCAGTACATGTCAGTAAATGTCACCTATTTGACATAAAATTGGAAAATTTTTAGGAACGTTTCCAGTTCTCTTCTCTGGTTAATTCTTTGTAAATCCTGTGTGTAGAAATTTTCCCAACTTTTCAGTTCAATTGGGAGACGAAACTAATTGCGTGAGAGCAAAGTCTACTGATTAGAAAATGTTTTATGGGGCAAAATCAAACTATTTAGAGGTGTAATTAATTGGTTTCAACTTACCCTCTAGAATCGTCACGCGACGGACTGGACGTTGGCTCTCCGGATCCCGGCGCTGTATTAGAAAAACTTGAAGAAAACGATGTCATCACCGGCGACGCGTGGACGGCCTGGTCCACCGCAAAGGACACGCCTGCCAGACCCATCTGCAAAGTTGATGATGGCGTGGAAAACAAGGGCTTGGATAAAGTTTTGCAAAAAATTCATATTCGCCGAATGTGGCAAAAGGACCCGCCCGTAATTAATGTCACTTTAGCGTGCGGTGTTCCACAGGGATTCAAATTAACAGGTTTGGTTGCTCTGGCGCACGATAATAATGGCACCGGGGCGAAGTGCATTGTTAAAAGTGGACCCGGGGATGCTATAACGGTGACCCATTTGTCACAGGAACATAGGGGAATCAATTCATATATTTTGGTTATTGGGAGAAATGTAGTTATTTAGGAGGATACGGTAATTGTCGGAAACACGAACTATTAAAAACTAGAAATACATAGAAATCATGCATAAAATATTTCCTCCGAGTTAACGCTATGCTGTGAACATTAAGAGGAGACTCATCTCCACCGTATGTATTGTATGTGAAAAGGCCCCCTTTTAATGTTCACACCATAGGGCAGTTCCATAAATTATGTCACGCAAAACTCTAGAATTTCTAGACCCCCCCTTTAAAATTTGTCACATAGGCACGATATCATTGGAGCCTTGGACCCTCCCTCCTCCCTCTCCCGTGAATTAATTTATGGACCGTCCCATAGGTAAAATAGCACAGGTGTACGTGAAGCCATTATGAAGCATTAACATTTAAGTATTCTTTACTCGTCTGTTTAGTTTAAATGATCCACATCGTTTTGCTCTTACAAGGGAACATACCGAGGTGTCCAACGAGTTAAGGGCGACACCTGTACCAAAATGACCGTAACACATGACTTATTAAACAAACTGAAGGAATTTCCGTGTAAAATTCACTTTTCGTCACGATGTGACGATATTTGTGACGAGCGCATGAACATCGGATGGCCAGAGAGGGAGAGGTCGGCCGCTGAACGATCAGGTCGAACACATGTTGTCTTACGAGATTTCAAGTTTCAAATAACTTATGCATCTCTAATTATTTCAAAATTTCTTCAAAATTTCATTGAAATTTGAAATCTCGTAAGACAACATGTGTTCGACCTGATCGTTCAGCGGCCGACCTCTCCCTCTCTGGTAACCCGACGGTCATGCGCTCGTCACAAATATCGTCACATCGTGACGAAAAGTGAATTTTACACGGAAATTCGTTCAGTTTGTTTAATAAGTCATGCATTCTGGTCATTTTGGTATAGGTGTCGACCCTTAACTCGTTGGACACCTCGATATGTTCCCTTGTTAGTATAAAGAGAACAAGTTTGCTTGCATATTACCCTAAGTACGTAAGTTAGTAGAGAGAAGCCAACATATTTACGGTCGAGTACACGGGGATTGGATGAGGTGTTGCACTCGGTTTGAAAAAAAAACTTGTGGAACTTCTCTGAATGGAGTCTGGTCAACCTGTCACTGTGCCGGACTGCGTATATCCCTACGGTGAGTTTGAAAACGTAACCCCCATGGGGGGTGTGGTCGGGGCAAAATGAAATTTTTATTGATATTGAATCTACATATAAATGGAAATAAGTGAAATTACGTGTTCCTGCGATGTGTCGCACCCCCTCCCACCCAGGGGGTGTGGTCGGGGCAAAATGAGATTTTTTCTAAAATTGAATCTAAGTATGAAATTAAGTGTTCCCGCGCTATCGTGGGCGTGGCGGGGGAGAAGTAAGACTGCAGCTAATTCTTTATGTGCATTTGACAAGGTTTATTTATACTTCATTTATTAATTATACAAAAATCATGACGAAACATTTCCGCGGTTTTCGGGGATGATACTTGATTTTATTTGAAACATTGCAAACTTTCAATGACTCAATGATTTATTTTAAAAATCCCCCTAAATCATCTTGTCATCAACAAAACCGCAGAAATGTCTCGTCATGTTTTTTTATAATTAATAAATGAAGTGTAAATAAACCTTTTCAAATGCACATAAGTGCAATCTTACTTCTTCCCCGCCACGCCCACGATAGCGCGGGAACACTTAATTTCATACTTAGATTCAATTTTACCAAAAATTTCATTTTGCCCCGACCACACCCACTGGGTGGGAGGGGGTGCGACACGTCGCAGGAACACGTAATTTCACTTATTTCCATGTACAAAAGGCGTTAGGACATGGTTTTGACGAATTCATACTTTAATTGCGGGATGGTTTTTAGTCGTAGAGATTTCTAACTTGTTTTATGTGAAAGCCCATGTCTCAAACTATAGGTAAGCATATCTGGCTTCCGATTTTGTGTACTCTGCGAAATGAGGCAAGGTCAAATTTGGAGAGGTGTCCTTTTTTAGTTTTCCAAACCAGTGTTCTTATAAAATGGCGTTGAACAAAATATTTTTTTCTTAGGTCCTGATGCAAAAATCGTCTTTGCGACTATTTTTAAGGGACTTAGCATGCTTTTCACTATATAAAACCACGTTTGCCTTATGCGTATCTTTTAAGTCCGTTTTGCAGTCTAATTTCATACTTGTCTTAATGGAATGCGCTCTTTAACGCAACTCTTCCACTTTTAAGGCCCCCACATTTTACGACTTTGATGCTAAAAATCCATAACGTGGTTTTTATCCAAGGTACATATAGTATATTGCACTGTAAGTACTTTTGACAAAATTTTGATAAGTGGTTACACCCCACGGACTGAGTTTTCATCAGACCTTATAAACTTTTTGGAAAAGTTCCCGTCGTTTTGGATGTCGAACTTCAGAAATAATTTAACTAACCAAAACGCAATAATTTTATTATTTTGTCACTTGTACCTTGTAGATAAAATAGTTCTGCAGTGGGGGACACAAAAAGATTAGTAAAATTTATTTTCTAAAAAATTTGACCATTAATTTTCCAAATAAGTTCACGAGTTTTTTAGGATTCCGCGACAGCTGATTAGCTAGGGTCGTTCTCCAAAACTGTTTACACAAAATCTTCACTGTTTAGTTTAATATTATTTGGGACACTTAGAGCTTTGCCCTCAATCTTCATTTGACCGAGTGGGTCCGCGTTCAAGGTCAGCAGGTCAATTTTCCTGTGCACGGTCCAATTTATCAATTTTCATGAAAAAGTATCAGCGATGATGGAGGCCCAACATTATGTAATTCATGTAGATTCTTTTATTATTACATGCAATGATTATCTAGGGTTGTAATATTAACAATCATTCACCTCTGACCTCTTAGGTTATCATGCTATATGAGTAATTCAGTTTGGAAAGTGTTTTTTTGGCTCCTTCCAACTCTGGGGGCACTGGAGGGGGCATTTATAAAGCTATCGGCCTAAAATTTTAAATATATCTTTTTGAGAGTATTATCTTACAACTGACCAAAAATCAGTTCAAAATTCAACTCCCCGCCAGAGATATTCACCCGCGAATTCGTCAAAACCATGTCCTAACGCCTTTTGTATATGTAGATTCACTATCAATAAAAATCTCATTTTTCGCCGACCACACCCCCCATGGGGGGACGTTTACAAACTCGCCGTAGGGATATACGCAGTCCGGCACAGCTGGCAGGTTGAGCAGACTCGATTCAGAGAATTTCCACATGTTTTTTTTTCAAACCGAGTGCAACACCTCATCCAATCCCTGTGTACTCGACCGTAAATATGTTGGCTTCTCTCTCCTACCTTACGTACTTATCCTTAGGGTAATACGAGCACACTATGTTAACCAGTAAAATTTTTGTGGCTTGCATAATTTTGTAAATTGATTGAGAATGAATAAATATGAATAAATGTAATTCATTGGCGAGTTGAATTTGTTCATGACTAATTACTTCAGCCCTACTTGAGACCAAGTGCGACGGGTCGTTGCGGAGGAATTCATTTTTAGACAGATCTCAACAGTGCGCATTTTTTTACCAAGCATTATACATTCATGTATGTATGTTTTATTCAATTAGGTATAGAATTGTATTCGCAGAGAATTGAGGTGCATGCAAATATATTATACGCAGAATATTATTATCATGCTACAAAAATTAATTAAGAAAAAACTAAGCGACCCGCGCTGTATATAAATATCCCTGTCAGAATTCTTTAAAAAAATTACCACTGTCATCGTCCTAAACGTAAAATATGTATTTCATCCAACTCTCGTCCGGCTGGAAGATATCCTAAAATTGAAGCAACGATCCCACGATGTACTGCGATGCTCATCCTTTGAATGAGAAATGGCGTCAGTACGCATGTGCATTCATATTTATGTATGTACATAGTGGAAATTATCTCTATTCCTACGAGAAATAAATATGTCGATACCCTGTGTGCCATAACTAAATATGTGGGTTGTTAAGCTTTTCCCCCTTTTTATCTCCACCACGTGTACATTTAAAGAAATAATTGATGAGAAAATCAATTTGTAGCATGACAAGAAGATTACTGCAAAAAGAGACGGCGATTTATTTCATGTAAATATGTATGTATATCATGAAGTGATGGTGAAGGGAAGGTATAGCTCTTGTCGTGTGATCCAGGGTTATGTGTAAACTCTAAATGTATTATGTTGGGTTATTTTGATGGATAAAATGATGAGTTGATAACTACTTACATATGTATGTTGGAAGTATTTACATAAATATTTGACATATGTACATAAATTGACACACGTGTAGCGCACACTTTGAATAAAAAAGAGTATTCACTCAAGGTTAAGTAAAAAGGAGAGGAGGACACAACCATATGTACCTGTTGATCTTCATTCATGTGACTGATTTTGATAGTGAATGAAAAAAATGAATTTCCTCTGACTTGAATGAAAATGAGTGAAAGATTCAGTCATTTCAGATGAGTGACTGTGAATGAAACGATTTCGCACTGCTTTCATTATTTACCCTGTGCTGTTAATGCATTTGACAAAGAAATGCAGTCCGATGAATTGAATTGAAATGAAATGAGTTTGAAGGATAAGAAATGAGTGTGAATGACACTCTTCACTCATAAATCGGGATGAATTAACTTTGATTGAAAAAAAGCTTTTTGAACAGGTATGGACACAACCAAAACCGCTGTGTAAAATTTATCCAACATTGTGTAAATTTTGTCCAACGGATGAACAAATTTTGCACAAGTGTTGGATAAATTTTACCGTTTAGTTAAGTCCTCTGTTTTTTTTACTCAATCTTGAATAAGTTTTGCTTGCTTTTATTTAGGGACGTGGGCTCAAGCATTGAACCAACAATTGTCCACGTAGCTAAAGGAATACATTTTTCTCGAATGTAAATATTTGTATCATTTGCACATTTCTCGTTAAATTTGCGACAGGGATAAATAATTTGTGTTTATTTGCTTTGACAATGGGTATTGGTATAATTTCTTCGCGCAACAGTGACAATTTGAAAGACGCAATTATCCACAATTTGTGTCGATTATCCTTAAATGTGATATAGCTATGTGTTCGTCCCCAGCCCAGTAAATCGTTCAAATTATATTTCCCAAAACAATAATCAATGTTGTCCTACTTTTCGTATTACACAAATTTTCTTCAGCCCATGTAATCGAAACAGCTAACGAAAAGTGTGCAGGACTGATCAGCATATGTGAATATGTGTGATGTGCATTCATTCCAATTAAAATAAACATTCAGCTAAAAAGATCAGCTATTTGTCAGTTACAGGAAAACATTCCGTATTTGCGCTGACTATTCACCACGGGTGCACTCTAAAAAATCCGGTAATAAATTCTTAATAGTGCGTATTACCACCTGTGTGGTAAGATTAGATATTACCATCAACGGTAGTATGCTAACGCCCTATTACCATTTCTTCACCAAGTGGTAGAAAAGGCTACTAGCCTGGTTAAGTAGAGGCTCAATTCGTCCACCACTGCGGCAAGGCAGTATTTAGCCTCATGCCAAAATTGGGTTATTATCGTGCAGTAATAGTAGTATCCACCAGCACGTTAGAGTCATCTATGTTTACCGCGTGGTAATCAATAAAATTTCTTAGAGTGTACACCCACATATCCAAGATCTACGCGTTTTGTCTCCCTAAGTAAAATTTGGACACTAAAAGTTATTTATGTATGTACGTGTCCCATTAATTTAGTTTGACAATATTTGAAACGTAACATTAGCTGTAAAAGTTTGAATTCTTATTAGTTTTATTATTTAAGCCAAGATATTGGATACACACATTTATACATAGCCGGGGCAAGTTTACCAACTTTATATATGTATGCATTCGCGAAACGATTCACGAAGACAGGGTACAATCTGTACGTTTAGCTAGTGTAGATATGTACATTGGGGATGGCGATCTAATCCTATTTTGCGAAATTTTGGACTCAGGGAGGAGGGATAATGCAAGAATTTCACTTGTTAAACTCAGATTGACGTGGAACCTATATACATACATATAATATTTTGGTTATCATAGAAAATATGTATCCATGTGTTTCATTATTTGGACAACAAGCAGAAACTTTTGAACTTTAATGCTTCAAAAATTCAAAAACATGTCGCTCCACATTGACATTTACTACTAATTAGTTCAACACAGTGAGTCAATTTATTCGTAATACAAAGAAATAATATTGTTGAATAAAAAGCTAAACATGTGTAATTGGAAACAAAAACCCAATTAAGATGGAGGCATTAAATCAGCATAACTCGATTATGATAGGTCTTATGTTGATGATTATGGAGTCCGCCGTAGTAATTGAGGGCGACTGTAGCCCAATAGTTTCCCAAACTCATCACAAGCTAGAAATAACGGACTACTTCATTCCCTTCGGAAACTGCACTGTGATTGCTTTCGTCCCAAATAAGGCTACTCGTTTTCTCCAGCAAAAAGAGCAACACGCTCCAATAATTTTATTCGCGCTGGATTTTACACAAGGTGAAATAATTGATCACAAATTTTCAATCGTGGCAAGACGTAACCCATCTCCACATTGCTGGACATCGTTTCTAATTCTTCCCGAAATGCATGAGAACTTCATATTGGACAAGAAATATTTGGATACCCCTTCTGAGGCTAATTTTATCAGTCCGTATTGGTCAAATCAATACTTCATTTGGATCACAACTATCAAAAATGACATCCAAAAATGTTTCGAAAGATGGAAATACGCAGAAATGTATCAAGATGGGATTAGGGATGTTATTCTTATTACGGTTAAGATGCACAAAAACGAATTGATAAGCTCTAATGGTTCAGATATGCGAATATACTACAAAAACCAGTATTACATGCATGCAGCCATTGTTGATGTGGAGTCAGCCCCAAGTTGGTTAATAATAGATTGTTTACCAAATGAATGCTATAACTTAATTGAATCGATGGTCACAAATGTATCAATGAGCAACAAATACATTTGGACTACGTTTGTCAAACTTGACACCCAGTTCACCACCATTAATAAATTGCTAAGTGTATTAGACTTCGCCAAGGTGCAAACAAAAAGCAGACATGGCTACCAAAAAATTGCAGACCTAGTAACATTTAATACTTTCGTAAGCTACTGGGTTTTGCAAGATGTTATCCGCCATTCACCTGGATATGTCGTGTGGTCTCATGTATTCCCATCAATTACGAAGCCACCTTCATATCCCGGGGGAAATTTCAATACTTATGTTGCCCTCGAGATGCGACGGTTTACACCTGTTTCTTGCTATGGTGTAAAACGGGCAAATTCGGGTATTCTCGCTGCAATAATGGCTCCATTCGATTGGGAAACATGGACATGCATTTTGATCAGCGTTTCAATTTTTATACTCATTTGCTCTTTACTTTCCATCGCTTCTAACGGGAGCTTCTTTGCTATCGCAATGTTTCTTGAAAAGTCGGAGCTTTCGTTGAAGCATATTTCGAGTGAATATATTTCCGCGGTAGACACCCTCATTGTGACTTGGGCCATTATGATAGGCATCATTTTGCCTAATTTATATAAAACTTTTTTCACAATGGAGATGATCATACCAATGTCGTACAAATCTTCATGGAAAAGCATAGCGGACATTGAAGGGCTACGCATTCTTATTCCATTCAATCTGCTCGTAGAAACGGAGGTAGATTCAAGTCAAATGTCGGATCTAGTTCAACACTACTACTTCTTTCGTGCAGTTTTAGTACGATTAATCGAATTATACCGATTAGCAGAAGCCAACTCCGGATTAGACGTCAATAGTAATATGTCAAAACATTTGCTAAATATTATAGGCCCTCACTTTGGGCTCGGAGTAGATGGGAGAACATATGGAAATGGGACGTTTAATAGATCATCCTTTGGTCTAGAGTCTCCGTATAATAAAAGTGAATTCAAAGACATTCCGGTGCAACCAGTATTATATCGAGAACCCAATGTGACATTAAAAGCTCTCACATCATGTGAGAAAGTTGTGTTCATGGACATGAAAGGAAATATTGATGCCATACTCCCGTTCCTAAATGACAACCGGAAAGGTATAAAATTCCTCAAGGGCAACGACGATACATTGTTTGCTGAATACCGAGGTTGGTCAATGCTTCCCATTCGTAACAACTACGCTTTGGGCCGACTTAAAGTTATGATATCGTCAGGAATCTTTTCTCATTGGGAAACTTTGTACTATCTATGGAAACCTAGAAAACTCTTCCATACTTATAGCAATTGGACACACCCTAAATTTAATTCTGTTTCACAACTTGATGTCAATTCTAAGATATCGACTGCATTTTACATTTGTCGAATTTGTTTGTTGTTCTCTGTTGCCGTACTGGCAATGGAAGCAAGTTTGTTTTTATTACCAAAATGGATAGATATGAACATATATTACGGTAAGATATGTTATCTAGCTCAAGTGGTTTCGCTTAGTACATTATAAAGAAATTTTCCATTAGCCAAGTTTTTTTAACGAAAATTAAATTATGATTTATTCACTAATGTAGATATATACGTTATGTTTAACTATAGCTTTGCATGTCACGAAAAGTGTTGCTTAAAATAGGGAAGAAGATAATAAGATAAGATTAGCTAAGATTATTCTTCGAATAAAGTTATTCCTAATTAGCAACTATCATGAAATTAGTAATCAGTCACTAAAAATGAATCAGAGTCTTGCAGAGTCATTGCAAGTAAGAATTAATTAATTTACTAGAAAAATCAAAACACTTAAACGTAGTAAACAACTAATGGCGTAATGAGTAAATTAATTTAATTAAGAATTAAGCATTGATTAATTCCATCATATGATTTAACAAGTATGCGTGTTGTCGATCAATTTATATTTTTCTATGAAAATTCTGCAACTTTGGTAGATTAACCAGAATAATCCACACTTGCCCATACTTTTGCAAAAACAAAAGTTATCCTAGACAATAATTCTAGTAATTTTAGCAAAAAAATCGTTTTTGCTTATTCCTTGCGGTTAAATATGTTCACTTGCCCGCCAGCATAATTTTCTCCACTAGCGGAAAACACTTGAGTTAAACACTCGTGTTAAGAAACACTCGTGTTAAGAAGTTTAATTTCTGCTACATATGTACTGATCATCAAATTTAGCAATTTAGGTACAACGCGTTCTTGAAACTTGTAAAACGTTAAAATATTAAACAACTAAACTTTAATTTTAGCAAAAAATTCGGTTTTGCTTACATATTCCTTGCTGTCGAGTATGTCATCCAGATTATAATTTTGATTTGTATGAAATGGTTATGTTTTACATATTAGGAAATGAAGAATTTCTCTCAAATGAAGTGAAATAAATATGTATACATATAAATGATTTTTATGAAATTTGAGACTTACTTGTGATTTTTTAAGACAACTATACACGCTTTCGAAAAGTACATTAATTTTTATTTGCACATGTTTTAATCAATTTTCACTAATTTTACGACACATTTAGAACGTATTACATACAAGTGCTGTAACTATGTACATGCAATTATTGCCAATAAAACCACAATTTTTGAACAACTACATTGCCCATTTGATAGAGTAAATTCTCCCTGAACTCTAAATTAAGAAAAGAGTACATACTAAACCCAGAGCAAGGCTTGATAAAGAGAAAATTTGTCTTTGATTTAGTAGAGCTTATTTCATACAAAATTAACATCGCATTAAAATATTACTTAAAAGGGTAACATCATTTTTCAGTGAATGTATTCCTGTTTTTTCGACTATAAAGCCCTCGACGTCATCACTCTCATTTCTTACAGAATTGCAGTGGTGAGGTTGAGGGTTTATAGCGGAAATGACAGGAGTACATTCACTGAAAAATAATGTTATCCTTTTACATAATATCTGCATAAATGTATACATTTGCATTTATGTATATGTTTTATTATGAGCATGAAACTAAAAGTATAACATTATGCTTAATTAGAATTATTTACTACTGAAGTATATTTTATGTAAAAGTACTAACTAACTATTCCACTCACATGAACTGTGGTCCATAATTGTATATTCTGATTATACATGCATCAAAATCGCAATTTAAAAAAAACAAGATTTAATATAGAAAACATTCCCGGAAGTAATCTGATTACACACACGATATTATCTGTATTTACAGCAAAAGTTGATTCAAAAAATGTATTTGGTAAAAACACTGGGTTTCATACATATATAGTTATTGACGAATATAGTAAACTGAATGGACAGCCAAAGGCTTACCGTGGTTCTGATTGTGTTGACAAATTCCTGGAGTACATGAAACATTTAATGGATGAAATCATGACGATCTACACAATTACCGAGCCACTAGGGATGTCTATTCACCAGGAAAACCTGCTTGGTCTCACATTGTTGCATTTGTTCTGCCAAGTCAGTTGATTGGAAGTACCCACCCATTCGACTCATGGAAATATTCTAGCTAAACAAATATGGTAGACGATATCTCTGAACTTAACTCCCTGTAAACTTTGAAAAATCCACTCTTACGGGGGAACAGAACACTAGCTGCTCCTATCTCTTATTTTTATGTTTGTGAACATCATACAACAATGTTACAGCAGCATAGAAATGAAAGAAAATGTCTCTTGTATGTGCTTCATAATGACCTAAAGATGTGATTTCTGTCAGATTTTGAAGCCTCTTTAAACCCACAATTTTAGTGAATGGAAGACTTGATTCTGCCAACACCTATGTAAGTGGGATCACCAAGTCGTCCGTTCTGGTCTAGAGGGGGACAATATTGGAAAATTAAAGATTGTCGGGCCAATCAAAAAAACTATGGGACTGATCTTGACCATTCTGGAGACGAAGGTCAAATTCATAGACTCGCAAAACTTCCTTCCGGGCACAATTTTGGAGCTATTTGAAAATTCCACACGGAACTAAAAAGACTAGCGTAAAATTCCCCCTGCTTTACGATTCAGTGCACCAGGATGATCTTAAAATGGGATACAAATTATGAGGCCTATATTTTTCTATTCGACATTACGACCGACCAGGTTAATTTATCATAAACAGGAATGAAAATGGAGCATTTCATATACATCAGACTCAGAGTAGAATAATTATTCACCATGCATAAAGTTCCACAAAAAAAGGCAAAATAATCTAACCTTAATAAAAGGAAAAATTATTGAATTTTTTTAGGAAAAAAAACAACTACATTTCATGAACCGATGCCCACAATCCTCCCTGCAGGACCCTTTATACCTGAAGGGTTTACGGCTTATGCGTGAAAATTAGCGTAACCATTCGAATTTGTATGTACGTAAAATAACAATTCTCAGCTTGTTCAATTATGTATATGTAGATTTTTGAGAGTGGAGCTTCTACCATAACTAGAAATATAACAACGCCATTAGCTAGCACAATCAGCAACATTGGCTGAGAGAGATTAATTAACCAAGTGAAATTAGCAGGTTAATCTAAATTTAGTAGAGTTTTGCTAATATAAAATTTGGGGTACATATGTATACTTTTCAAAACGATGAGATGACGATTTATATCTAGATTAAAATAGATATATTATGTATCAATAAGGCCAAACATATTTTACCGTATTAGTCACAATTAAATAAGGTCTCACAACGTGTTCTCACAGATTTTAGCAAAACTAGTATCAACGGATTATAAATTTAATTAGTTTGAAATGTCGAAAGGTATCTGCCAATGCGCAGGTTACAGAGGGGATACATACATAAGTAATTGCGTCCGAAAAAGCGAACAGTAAATTTGGAAAGTGTAAGATTTTTACAATTTTAGGGCAGACTTTGTCATCTTTTTAGTTTAACAAATATCTTTGCCAAATCGGTGCAATTACAAATTGTGGGTTTTGTAAATTTCACATGTATTAATTATTTTTATGATCGATTGACATTAGTTTGGATAAAAAATCGCGTGAACATACGCTGAGAGACCTCCATTGTTAGTTACGTTACATATTTACCTATAGTTATACAAATTAAAACGAAATATTCTTAAAGTAATACAGCTTAACTATGTAATTAACTGGAACCGGAAGATCACTCATTTCATCGTATCCATTTTTCCATTAGACAGCAGCCACGCATTACGTTTGTATGGTTGGGACGCCCCTCAGACTAAAAATGTCAGAAATGGTGATCTGCGTAGGAATTTTAAGAGCCAAAGTTTGTATCAATTTTTGCGGTATTGGGAAAGTCGGATTTTGTATAAAGTAATCTATGTAAATAGCTTACGAAAATTTGATGGACTGAATTAATTCTGATGGAAATATTGTATCAGAGGAAAATAGTTTCCGTGAAGGCCTGTAAATGGATAAGTATACATATATAGCATAATTTTATAAATATGGAAATTACAAAGTGTGTAATAAACTTTTGATAATTTAGCGCATCACTGATAAGTAAATAAATATGTACATGAATTTGAAATTTGATCTTACTTTTAATGTTGGCGTGTGTACGTGTCACATCCCTGGTAAGGTTTTTAAATCAGGTTTTTGTACATACATATTCCTTAAAGTATGAAAATGAGCACTAAAAATGTTAAAAAAATCCCAAAATAAAAATGAACCTGTACATATACATACATACATTCATATGTATGCAGCATAAACACATAAGTATGTATATTTTGACATAAAAATTTTGCGTACCTGTTGCAATTTCAGCCATGTAATTTACATAAGTTAATTAAGAAAACTTAAACCCTCTTAAAGACTGCAAATTTTCACTTGAGCGAATTAATTAAGCAATTAAATCACCTTAGAAATGGAAGAACTGGGTGCACTTTGCTTTGCACAAAATCTTATCCGAATTTTGTTACCCTGACTAGAAACAAGGTTAATTTCCAAATTCGCTTTAAATTGGTAAAATTTACCACAGCGAAATTAATAACGGGATCACATTTTGAAGACTTTTATCGATTGCGAAAATATATTCTTACAAGCAATAACCTGTTGAGTGAAATGTGTACTCAATGAAGATACAGTGTGCCAAAGGATATTTCGTCAGGTGTATGATAAACATAATCATCTTGTTCATTCAAGCAGGACCGCAAATTAAGGATGTGATTAGTTTTAGGAAAATTTATGCGCCACTTGTGATGAATATTGGATGAGGAGTAATTAATATGATTGCTTTTAGACCTGCTTAACGCACAACCAACCAAACTGTCTGTGCAATGTGGAATGGATACATTTTTCCACCTTCAAGGTGACCGAATTCCTTATTCTGTGCACGTTTTAAGGGACTGTGCAAAAATGGTGTGATTGATTTGACCGGAGGTAGGGGTATTCCAGTATTAATCAGAACATGTGAACATACAAATTTAGGATTAGGTTCAAAGACCCTCGAACATTTGTGACATCGTTTATTTGCAGCTGGTAAGGAATAAGACACTCGTTATATGTAAATAAGCTGGGTTAAATATAGGCTTATTCATACATTACATCATCAAAAATTCCCGATTTTAGCACCCACCCAACGTAAACATTAAGGGGTATGGAATTTTAATTTTCATGGGAAACATAAGAAGCCCTAAACCAACCACCCACTAAAATGATGACGTAATATGTGGACGTTACCTAATAAGTCTTACAGCAATGGAAACTTTTGGTGGGTGAAAAACCCATAAATCTCTGTTATGTCGTTACCAGGATTTGAGATTTTTATTAATTTTTATCATCTAAACTGGTGGGTTATAAAAACAACACTTATAATAAAATTCTTAACATTATGCATTTTAGAGACAAAATTTAAAAGTAATTCGCAAGTAATTACTACCTATTTACTCAACAATTTGTGTATGTAGTATGATTGTGTATCAAAATGCAACGTATGTATTTACAAAGCAATAAATCTTTATCAAAAATGGTTTTGCTTATTCAAGTTATGAGTTTAATTAAATGGTTGTAATATTCCACCATAAATAATTTCAAAAAGACAATATTAAAAATCACCAAATCATTTCAAAGACGGTGTGCATATGCACATTATTAGCACGAAAGTATGTTAAATATGTATGTATGCATAAATATACATAACAACGTATAGTTTAGACTAAATTATTTAAATACTAGTTACTAATAATATGTAATATTGTAAACACTAACAGTAATTTTTACAAACAAATTTAAAGAGTAAAACCTATTTTATGGCTGATTTGTTAAATCGTGTTCAGTCAAGAATTGATGTAACCCAAGTAGTTCTTCAGAATAGGGAACGGACCAGTTAAAATACTAGCGTTGCCGTGGGTAACGACATCAACACAGGTAAATTGGGTAACTTTGTGGTAAATTATCAACATTGTTGATAATTAAATAAAAACTGAACTACCCGTTACCCGTGCGGGTAGTTCTCACTACCCGACCCGCAGATACCGCAAGAATAGTGCGGGTATGTGGGTAACGGGTACCCGACCCATTACCCGCGGCAACCCTAGTTGCATATATGTATATGTAATTGCTTTTAAGTAAAAATGGGTGTCAAGTTCCAAAGTTCCAAAGTTTCAAAACCGGGGCGCAGTCATAGAGTATAGAAGAAATGAAATAATGTCAATCAGGTCAAGTGGACTCCTTTTTCTATTTTCTACGAAGACGATCTGTGTGTCCACTTTTGCATATGCTGGATTCTACCCGGTCTCAAGGTCGAATGAACCTTTGCAAACGAAGCGTAGCAAAAGGTCGAAACGACACCAAATTGTGCAAACGTTACACAAGACTAAAGAAACAAGCGCAAATCATTCTTACTGCCAGAATCAACCAGCCTGCATTACGTGTGAGACCCTGCACATCTTAAAGCACACCTGACCAGAGCTGGCCTCCGCGCATCACCAAAATGGTCACAACGTGACCAAATGTAATTATCACACGGAAATTTTCCTACATTCGCGGACTACAATTGAAAAGTGTATCAAATTCACATACTTCCATTGCTAGGTCCGAGTTACACATAACCGATGTTTCTAGTTAGATGAAGTTAGTGGCAAGCTGTTAAATTTATGTGACGTGATTTAATAATCCTTATCACCAAAAAGAGCAAGATGCAGATTCTGCAACTTTGTAGTTAAAAGGCGTGTTTATTACCCTGTTTGCTGATCTTTCTCTCTCTTTCTACAAACTTTGTTTTAATGCCTAAATTTATATTCAACATTTTTTCGAACATACTTTGATTAAGTCAGTTGAGTCACCATACAATCCTTGCTAATAAAACTGTACGTCTGTGTCTAAATTTACACAAAGTTTCCATTCATCACTTCTTGAATATTCCCGACATATTTCCGAAATAAGTTCCCCCAACGCTTAGCTCACGAAACACACTTGTGAATACACAGATATCGATAAACCCAGTTGATTGGAAGTACCCACCCATTCAACTCATGGAAATATTCTAAATAACTAAACAAATATGGTAGATTACATCTCTGAACTTAACTCGCCGTAACCTTTGCAGAAGTCTTAGATCCTCTCCGACGCGAACATGGCAAGAAAAGTAGGATCACGGTAATGGACAAAATCCAGTCTTACGGGGTAACGCTACACTAGTTGCTCCTATCTCTTATTTACAGTCAGGAGCAAAATGTTAGGCGAAATGGTATTTTCCACTTAATTTCCACACCAGTTTTCCGAATGACTTCAAACTTTACACAATTCTGTATAATGGCATTACTTACTTCTAACATAAGTATGACATACCAGCTTCATCGGGAAAATTACTTAGCTGGAAAAACTTAAAAAATAGGTGGTGCAAAATGATAGGCGATCGTCAATATTTTAAAATTAAAAATCTGTGTTTATTTTTCTAGGCAATATTTGATGTTTCTAGTGACCTTAATTACTTCAAGGGTCCTTATGCTTTGAAATAAATTAATTAACTCGGAGATTCAAGGGGCTTACGAGCTATTGGAGAGTCTGCTTCACCCATTTCGCCTAAATTTTCAAAATCGCATCTCTCAGTTGATTGACGCGGTCATACATGACACCTCCTCATTGTAAGTGTTAAACCTCAAAAGAACCTGTAATCATATACAGGTAACAGGGTGGTTTAAAAGTCACGCTACAATAGAAAATTTTTCAATGAGGAAAGCCCTTAAAGGTCCATTAGTTACAAGATTTGGGATTTTTTTAAATTAAAAACGCCAATAACCAACCTGGTGCAACCCAAATGACAAAATTCTTAAACTGTCGAATTTCATGGATACTGTTTTCGTAACCAAGGGCAATTTACGAATTTTCTGTCTTGAAAAAAAATTTCCATTGTAAGGTCACACTGAAACCACTTATAACGGTCGCCCTAATAAAACCTGCTAATAAATCGATTCATACGCAGATTATCTCCAAGTTAGTATTAATAACGCAACGAACACAAAAATATTCATGTCAACCACTTTATTTCTTTTGTGGTGGAAAGATGAGAAGCCAAAAAAGCATAATGAGCAAATGTGCCTTGCAATCATGCAATCCAAATTAAAAGTTTAAGTTGATAGCTGCTTAGAATTAGTCACATTCATACAATAAAGGAGAAAGTAAGTAAGTCAAAAATACGGAAGAATCGACAGATCGGATACAGGCAACGATGGAGCGGCCAGAGATTTTGCAGGGGAAATAAACTATGACTATTGATAATTCGATTTAAAAAAAAACTTTGTCAAAGTGACACGTATTAATGAATGGACTTGAATGGACGTTTCAGTAATCCTATCCATGAAATATCCAACAAGCAAAACTGAATTGTGTAGTTTGTTGGGAAGCCGTAATTATTGGAGTCTTTTCATACCGTCACTTGTAATGAGAGCAAATAGATTATTCCCACTTTTGGAAACTGGCGTTCCTTTCAACTTTACGGACGAGTGTAAAGCCCAATTTAATGACCTACGGAATGACCTTCGGAGCCTCGAAAAGTTTCGCTAGTATTTATATATTTATGAAGCGGTTTACATGTATAACGAACAGCACTTACGTCTGCTTCTTCTTTCGACGAAAACAGCCCAAAAATTTACGTCGAGCTCATTAGCTCGCCGTTCTTCTTCTAGATAACCAAATCCAATTAGTCTACTCAAGAGGCGCCACCCACCATCTAGTCGATATATGTGCTCCAGAGTAACTTTTGACGAGCTTACTGAGTCCCAAAAGCGAGATCAAGTGACTTACATATTTATCGTCTGAGTTGGACGTTATTTTTCCCTTGAAAATTGCATCTATCACACTTCTGGTTGCTGTCGTTATAAATACGCATGGCACCAACCAGTCTTGTAATTGTCTGGATGTCTATATTAAATAGTGTTATACACTTTGGAGGCCTGCATGACATCCAAGTTCGGAGTGAAAATATTTTCTATGAAGCAAGAACGAATGAATACAGTTATATATGTTTTGATGTACCTAAACTCTTCCTTACTGTCACAAAGCAAATTAGGATGACACAAACATTAGTATTTGTTCTTTTTTAAGTCTATCTATATTCATAGTTCACTGCAACATTTGATTAATTATCTGTTTTTCGCCAAGCAGAATTCTTTTATGACGAATATTTTTCGCAAAACTGACCGATTTCCGATAGGACAGCACATTTGAATCATATTCGCTTGAATAATATTATTATTCCGGGGTTTTTTAAACTAAAGTTAAGGGCATGATTAATATAATCTGCCGAGAGACTAAACAATCAATAATGTCTCCCTAATAAAATAATTAGCGTAGAACTTTTCCCGTATTTGAGGTACAAGTTTACAAATATTGACAGGAGAAATTGGGGTCGAATTAAATCAACACCCAATAAAGGATCTTGTATGTATGTATCATAAATAGTCCTAATCTTAACTATTCATAATAATTCATAAGTATCCATTACCATTGGATGTATGTTAAACGAAATTTTGATGAGAAATATCGCTCACGCATATAAATATTTTTCACCACACTCTAAAAAATAATGTTACCTTGTTGAAAAGTAAATGCACTTTGAAGTATAAATAAGGTAAACTCTATCCAGGGTAAACTTTACCCTTAAGATTTTTAAAGATCTAACGTTACTCTAGATTTAGTATTCTGAATTAAGAATTCTGAGTGCATTTAATTTTCAAAATGGTAACATTACTTTAAACAGTCAACCGTCTACAGGATACGGTTTACTACATTACAATATTTATGTATGTAGATAAATTTATACTCAATAAACCTTAAAATATATAACCCTAAAATCGTATATATGTAGCTGCTGTAAAGCGAAGAATTATGCATTATAAATAAATAAATACATAGGTAGCTTAGGTATCTGATTAACCTGCACAAGATCCCCGCTTTCGATGCATCTATTTTTTCATTATCTCATTCGATAGCCTTGTGTGTGCATGGATAAGACAAGTTTGGCTCAAATTGTCCAAGATGGTGGTCTGGAATTTTAGAAAACAAACCAGCCTTTCTTAATTATTCCGGGCTTAATAGAGTTGAATTCTATATAATGGTGATGCAATAAAAGTAAGTTACTCACGAAAATACGAGGGGTTGGGTTGAATTCGAATGATAACATGAATCCAATAAAGGGACGACATTTTTCCGTAAGGACCTGAAAATAGATACATACACTCTTAAAAAACTGACAAGCATTAAATCATCACTGTTGTGGGTGCAAGTTTGACTCCAATTAAAATAAGGTATGCGATTAATTCATCCCCAAAATATAATGGAAAATAATGTGTTTAATTACTTCTACTAAATAATGTATGTAGGTAGAGGTAGAATGTATCATAAATAATTGTGGGAAAATTTCCTATAGTATGCCCACAGTTTTAATACATTTGTCACATTGGTCAAAATTAGGTCGTTACACGTCAACATTTCGACAAAAGTCGACTTATCCAGTAATGCTATGGTGCAGTCATGTGAAGAATTTATCATTCACAAAAAACTACTACAAGTTCAGTTACTGAACTTCAGTAGGAAGCCATTAAATTGATACCAGAAAGTGCTGTTTATTTATGGGTACCTACCAAAATTTTGTCCGTGTAACAGTTGAATTTCATACAATAAATATTAAGATTAAGAAAGCGTAGCGAATGTTAAGTATGAATTCAATCTTACCTTTAATAGGTTTTCAGGTTGGTGTACGGTACGGTACCATCCTTCTCAAGGTTTTAAATTCGGTGTCTATAAAATTGTAAAAAATCAATGCAAAAAATCGTTAAATTTCATAGTAAATAAATTGGTGTATCCATGCGTCATTCGAAAAATTGCACAAATACATATGTAAATATTAACATGGAAAAGTCTGCCTACCCGTTAGCCAAAGACAGGAAAATATTTTTTAGGGATATCCATCTCCACTTGCACGATTTAACTCAAAGACGAAACATTCAGCTAAGCAAGTAATTAAATTATGTAAAAAATGAAAACTCTGGGTACACTTTACATACATCCCGTGTTATCAGAATTAAGCCTAACTCGCCACTAAATTATCCTCAAACTGAAAAAATGACGGAACTTACAAATGGGCTCCATTTTGTAAGCTTTCTGTAAATGATGATCTTAAAAACAACATCAACCTTTCCAAGGAAGATGGTACTTGAGGAGGATACACTGTGCGTAAAGATATTTGGCCAAGTGCGTATGTAACTAAGGAGGGGAGCTTCACCACCTGCCCCTCTCACATCTCGATGCCCTTTGGATATGTGGTAGGGTCCCATGAGTGTACTAAACCCCTGAAGTGGTTTGACTCCATGGCCACAGTTACGCCCGCCACACCCACTCAAAGGCGCCGAAAACACGAAAAAAGCCCTGTTTTCACTTGTTCAAACCCTCGCCAAAAATCCAATTTTGCTCGGATTTTGGTAAAATTTACATTTTTGTAATCCCAGATACTTGCTTGATCATATCCAGTAGCAATCTCAACTTTTTTGAAATTTTGAATTTTTTCGAATAATTCATCAGCCCAAAAATGCCCGAAAATTTCAAAAATTTCAAAAAAGTTGAGGTTGCTACTGGATATGATCAAACAAGTATCTGGGATAACAAAAATGTAAATTTTATCAAAATCCGACTAAAATTGGATTTTTGGTGGATTTTTGAAGTTGGTAACTTTTGTGGTTTTCATCCCTTTGAGTGGGTGTGGCGGGCGCAAATGTGGCCATGGAGTCAAACCACTTCAGGGTTTTAGTACACTCATAGGACCCTACCACATATCCAAAGGGCATCGAGATCTATGAAGGGCAGGTGGTGAAGCTCTCCTCCTAAGATTACGCAATTGAGGGACCCGGTGTTAAGGATGGGACAATTTTTGAAAAAAATTACACCGCACAATTGATCCCTAAATCACACAGGGTGTGACATAATTAATTAAGCATGGAAATATGTATTTAAATGATTTTTCTCAGACGTGCTTTATGCACGACACCTTACACTTGTCGATACCCTCCTTGCAGTGTGTACTCCAGGAATTTTCACCCTTCAACCTGAGCCAGTGTCTCCTTCGGTAAAAGCTTTAAGGAATAGTACTCTCGTTCCGTAGCAACTTACCATCCACACTAAAAAATCCCGTAGCATCAAACATTTACTGGTAATGGTACTGATTTAGTAACAATTTCCTACCAGATTGGTGGTGGGTGATTTTCTGAGTGTTAAATATTTCGGTACCGCAACATTACTAAACGGGGATTCTCGTTATGTGGGTGCATATGTATGTATGCACTTTAATTATGATTTACATATTACCAGTTTTCTAAGAGTGTGCATGAACCAGAGGTCGACGCCGCCGATCGTACGCCGCCGCGCCGTCGAACGCCGGTAGAATTTTACGCGCCGCCGCCGCCGAAAAATTTGATTTCCTATTCCTTCAACATTACGACGCCGCGCCGTGCCGCCGACGCCGCCGAAAAAACACCAAAAACTGGCGCCGCCGCCGCCGAAAAATTTGTCGGCGTCGACCTCTGGCATGAACCTCATTCTTAAAATGTAATTCTAGTCCTCCTCACCTTAAAGCTTCTGGCGTCTGTAATTAGATATGTGACGCGAAAATGCAAATTTGCGTAGTCTACCCCACCCCCTTCCCCCTGACACGATCACACCCCGCTTTAACCTGTGGAGTAAAACGTTTACCCTTTTATCTCCTCGAGCCGTGATATAATTTACATCTAAAAATGTATGCAATCTGAGAAGAATATTTGTGCTTATGTAAGACACAAGGAATGTGAGTCCTTGATAAGTTTAGTTCAAATTGATAACCTGTTTGCAAAAATAAATTTATTTCCAAACATCGTTTATTGTCAGAGGTAGCATATGAATGAGTGAATAAGGCAGTATTGTCCAATTACAACTTAATTACATTAATTTGACTAATAAGAAATACATTAATGTAATGAGTAATTACGAATGACCTACATATTCACATTAGCTTTGCGTAATTATAAATTAAATTATTTACGGCCTAAATATTAGGAATTATTAACAAAATAATTAAGCACTTTTGTAAAATCCGTAGAATACGCACAAATTTAAACTTTTGCCGTCATTTCTGAGCTTATTTGCAAATTTCTGTAAGTGTACGCAGCCCTAAGGTGTCTTTAAAGTATTTTGTAAGGTTTGTAAAATTATTTTACAGAATTTACATATTTTACAAATTTACCAGGGACTGTTTGAGTTGCCTTCGTATCGTTTAAATTAACAGTCACTCGTCCACATTATCAATTCATGTATGCATTTAAACATGCATAACTAAATTTATATGTAAATATATTGGAATTTAAATAATTTCTCAATTTCCTTACGAGTTTCATTTTTGTAATTTTAAGATTGCTCAACTGTTTAACAGTTACATATGCATACATGAGTTCGGATATATCAAATTTCCGCATGTATAAAAATGCATTATGAGGAAGTAGATCAGATTGTGTAGGTTCCTATCAACTTTTTGCACAAATTTAAACTTCAATTTAAGTAAATTAACAAGAATATGTACTAATAAAATTTTGATAAATTTGATTACTTAAATTTAAATAATTTGGATAAATTCGTAACGATTAATGCTAGAGCCGTAACACCTAACATACAACCTAACCGATGTAATAAATCACTCCAGATCCAGATATTCATCAAACAAGTCGTAACATAATGACAAACACACAAATATTCAAGGCTAGTTTTTATGTATATGGTGGAACATTAATTCCCTCAGTACATAATTAATAAGTGATGCTGTACAGTCTAATTTAAATGTTCTAATTTAAACACTAAATACAAATATTCCCATTACTACAATCAATGAAACGGTCAGCCCACAGCACACGGTAGTGGACAAAAATGTATATTAAAATATTAAACCTGGAAATTTTTTTGCCTAGAAAACATTTTCTGGTGGTTGCAGCCTTCAGAAAATATATCTCTTTTGTTCAACTAAATTTGGATATGACTTGCATCAAGTATGACTCCAGGTTTGATCCGTTAAACAAAAGAAAGCTGAGAGCGTAGTCTAAAACTTGGAGCTCAAGTATCAAGATTTGTTAATTATTTAATTACGTACTTTAATTTAAAGTTAAATTACGTTTGATAAATATTACATACAGTATAGGCAAAAAGTCATTATACCCTCATACTTTTTGTACATAAAGCCCTTCATTGTTCGAGAAGCTTGAGAGGATGAACTGCAATTTTGCACAGTTACTTACTATGATGCAAGGTTTCCGGAACCATACTTTGGATGACGGCGTGGCACAAGCAACGACAGGGTGGAATTATATCCAAAATTCCGACAGGCAAAAAGTCTTTATACCTTTTGACGTTTTGGTATTTTTAATGTAATTTTTGAAAACATACTCTTAAATCGCTCTTCACGCACCAAATGATTCATCATTAATTGAAAAATAACATTTGTCTAATGCTGAACTAGTTGTCTGTTACTACTATTAACTCATAATCACTCAAAAACACCCTAAGCCCGTCCTGCTTCAAAAAGTCATAGATTTTGATGATGAAAGGCTTCGACACCAAAGAATTTCCGACTAAATACTCACTAAGAATGGTACAGTTGCCAGTATAGTCCAGAACTGCAAAAAACTCCGGATGGTATGTAATTTAACATCTTTTTCATGGGCATGGAGCACACGCCCATGCACGGATCACGGCAACTTCTCCAAAAGCCAAAGATTTCACGGTTATCTTCACCAAAAATCAACTTAGAAACGAAGGAAGAATATAATCTTCGAGTTTCTGTGCGAATTACAAAGAGTAGGATCGCTTAAGATGGATTGGAATAGCGAGCAACATGGAGAATTCTACTTCTCCGCGAGGCCTATATTGCAGACAGTTCTAAATGGGCTAAAACTCATGATAATTGGATGGCTAAAGGTTAGAAACTCCTGATATTGTTCGCCGATGTCAATATCAACCTGTTTGGTTCAAATTGGGACCAGTGGAATATGGATTCAGCAAAGAGACGCTGATAAGACCAACTACCGTACGCTAAGCATTAAGGATGGGGGTGGAAATCGAATTGTTTGGGCGTTACGTTGTTGATGGCGGTCCGAAACTTTAATACAAGCGACGTATTCATGTACTCCAACTACTAGTGCGACGTTGTGGGTTGGAATTTGATGGCAACGGGAGGAAATAACCGTTAGGAAGTCAAAATATTTTCATATAGTAATATAGTAAGGCAATTCTAAGCACATATCAAAATTATTGAAGATTTGGTTTACAACAAAGGAGTTTGAATGGTTGAATTGACATCCATAATCATCGGACACCATGTTAATGTGCATTTCTGGTCAACGGCGAAGTCAAAAATTTTCCAACACACGCCATCAAACTTGAAAGACTGGTCGACGCCAAATAGGTTGAATTGGAGAATTTCGACACTTTTTTCACAATATCATTTCTTGGGTAGTTTCGAAGTTGTGTCCTTGCCTTCCTTAAGGATCGAGGTCGACATCCCAGATGACTAGTTTGACTGTTATTTAGCACAGAAGACTTTGAACGTATGTTTCATGAAATTTTAACCGGAGTATAAAGATTTTTTTCCTGTCGGAATTTTGGATATAATTCCACCCTGTCGTTGCTTGTGCCACGCCGTTATCCAAAGTATGGTTCCGGAAACCTTGCATCATAGTAAGTAATTGTGCAAAAATTGCAGTTCATCCTCTTAAGCTTCTCGAACAATATGAGGCTTTATGTACATAAAGTATGAGGGTATAATGACTTTCTGCCTATACTGTACGTTCCATGTGGGATTCTTAAGTTTGCCCAGGACTTTGGGTTAGTGGTATGGCCGACATGAGTAATTTCTGTTTGTCAAATCTAAAGAACAGCTACCATAGACGACAAGCAAGGCGGTGCTGAAACTATGAAAGCTCAAAGAAAGGTCCACTCCTCGAAAAATTCAAAATAGATAAACAAGTAAGCCTTTAAAAAGCCTTTGCATTGTTATATCGTATTGTTATAGATTTATTTTCGTACTTGCAGGATATTATCGACAAATGTCATGAGAAGGCTAAATTTTCAGTTGTCAATAAAAGTAAGTTTGATGAATATTAATTTGTCACGGTAAATCTTCATTTACCACGGGACCTTAGTTACCAAAAACTTCGACTATCCGCTGGAGCAAGATACATTT